AGGCCTTCACTTAGGCCTTCGAACACTACGCTCTGCTCGGCAGCCCTCACGAACACTACGCTCTGCTCGGCAGCCCTCAAACATTTCGATCCCGCCTTTTCTGGCAGCTGCTCAGACTGTGGGCAAGAGTCTTCGGACATCTACCACAAGGTGTGGGCCGGCCCCTGCAACCCTGCTGTACCTCCTATCCCTAACCCTATCTGGGAAGAGTGGGATGTGACCCTGCTTGGCTGCTCTAACCTTCAGGCTGAAAAGGTCTTGATTCGACAAGCCTAGGCATAAGCCGACGCAAATGGGATCCCGTACTAGGAATCCCCCACTACTAGTTGTGGGTGCTGTCCTTTTATGAGGCGATCACTGCATACCTTCCTTTTTTTGTTAATGTTTTTACTACCACCACCAATAGCAAAATACGAGCTCGGACGCAAGACGCAATCGTCGAAATCAGCGTTCGTCGGCGCGCCCATAGTTGGCATCGTTCTAAGGCACAGATCGCCTAAATTTTTAAAATGAATAAAATACTTTTTTTTTATGCTGTCAGTCACATTCCATTTTGACATGAAAATGAAAAAGTACAGGTTCCAAATGACTGCGAAAGTAGTTGCACTCATTTAGGGAAAAGAAATATATAGTTCTTTTGACTTTGGTCCTAAGGTGGCGCACACGTTGCAGAACCCATTGAACATTGTACTACCTTCACCAAAGTGACCAACTATTGTCATAGACAAAACACTGAAGTTTAATAATCTACTTATGTAGAAGGTTAATCTAATGAGCCATGTATCCTGTTCTCTTTTGGCCGCACGTCGACACAATGAGCATAAATAAGTTGCGTACAAAAATGCAGCCACCGCTGCTAAACGGTATTACAGGGTGTTTCAAGAAATGTATCCAAGATTATTTGAAAATTACAAAAAGGAGGTATCTGCGTGCTACCTGCGGCGTTCTTTTTTCTGTGGCAGAAGGTATATTTTCAGATGCTTACAAACATTATTTATGGCAGTAATTATAAAAATCAACACAATTAACTTTTTAGCCAGTCGAGTCAAATGGGTGAATTCAAGTCCTTCCTACAAATAGCCCATAGCTACTCTAAAAATTTTGAAAGGCGGCCACTGGTAATTACTCTAGAGCGATGAGATATGGCTAATTTAGCTGGTGGAATCAAAAGCGACACACCAAACAGCGGATCCACCATTCACTTCGAAAACACCCTCAATGAGGACACTGTTTCCCTCGCATTAGGGGAAAATAAGCGAGCGCCGACAAGCGGCCACGAAGCGAAGTGTCTAGATTGACGGTTTCTAACGGCAAGAGAAACAGTGTCGTCATTGAGAGAGTTATTGAAGTGAATGGTAGATGTGCTGTTTGGTGTGTCGCTTTCGGTTCCACCAGCTAAATTAGTCAGATTTCATGACTCTGCGGTGATTACTAGTAGCCGCCTTTGCAAAATTGCAAAGTGGCTAGGGACTATTCATAGGAAGGGCTTGAATTTGCCTATTTGACTCAACCGGCAATTTCCACTAATAAAAAAATTATGTTAATTTCTATACTTAGTGGCGTAATTGATGATTGTACGCATCCGAAGAAGCCTTCTACCACACTAAAAGAGAATGCCACAGGCAGCACGCAGATACCTTCTTTCTGTAATTTCTAAATAATATTAGACTCATTTCTCGGAACATCCTGCAGGATAAACTTCTTGCCAGAGACAGAGCGATTTTGGGACGTTCGGACCGCTAAGCAATGGGAACATTAACCGTTGATATAGATTTAACGCAAGAGGGCTAAAGAGCTTGTCATTATGATCATCAGCCTGACTAAGTCCACAGCAGGACAAAGGCCTCTCCCATGATCCGCCAGTCTACTCAGTCCTGTGCTTGCTGCTGGCACTTTATACCCGCAAACTTCCTAATCTTATCTGCCCACCTAATTTTCTGTCTCCCCCTAACGTGCCTGCCTTCTCTGGGAATTTATACAGTTATCCTTAGCGACCAGCAGCTATCTTACCTACATGCTACATGCCCGGCCCATGTTCATTTCTTCTTCGTAATTTCAACTATGATATCCTCGACCCCGGTTTGTTCACTGATCCACTCTGCTCTCTTCTTGTTTCTCAAGGTTACACTTATCCTTTTCCTTTCCATCGCTCACTGCGTCGTCCTCAATTTCAGCCGAACCCTCTTTGTAAGCCTTCAGGTTTCTGATTCGTAGGAAAGTACCAGCAAGATGCAGCTGTTATATCCCCTTGAGGTATAGTGGCAATCTACCATTCATGATTTGAGGGTGCTTGCCGAATATGCTACACCCCATTCTTATTCTTCTAGTTACTTCAATCTCATAGTTCGGCTCTGCCAGTTATTAACTGTCCTAAGTAGACGTAGTCTTTTACAACTTGAAGTGCCCTACTACCTATCTTGAAGCGCTGTTCTCTTCCGAGGTTGTTGTAGATTACGTTTGTTTTCTGCAGATCATTCTTAACACCTACCTTTATGCTATCCTTGTCTGATTCAGTAATAATGAGTTGCAATTTGTCCCCTAAGTTACTCAGCAATGCAATGGCATCCGCAAAACGCAGGTTACTAAGGTACTCTCTATTAACCCTTATCCATAACCCTTCCCATTCTAGGCCTCTGAAAACCTCCTGTAAGCACGCACTAAATAGCATTGGGGAGATAGTATTTCCTTGTTTACACCCTTCCTGATTGGTATTCTGTCGCTCTCTTCATGGAGCACTACGATGGCAGTTTATGCTCTGTAGATTTCTTCCAGGATGTTTATATGTGCTTTGTCGACGCCCTGATTCTGCCGTGTCTGCATGACTGCTGATATTTCGAATGAATTAAATGCCTCCTCATAATCTATGAAGGCTATGTATTCGCGGTGAATCAGGCTATAGGAGGCAGCACCGTCCCCACGCAAGTGTGGAGTGGCGGAGCGTATAGAATACACGCAGCAGCACTTCATTGTGTGAGTTCTGAGCCGATTTTCGGTCGGTAAAATGCATTGAATACAGTTTACTGTTAATAATTACGCTCTTCTCTACTGAACCGGTGCACGGCGCTTATGCAACGTTAACAAGCCACGAGTAAAACGCATTTTGCCTTTCATAGGGATGCCCGCCTCTGGTGACCCTCTTCACGCTTGTGCACTAAATTATGCCCTTGCTGTGTTGTTTTTACATGGTTAGCTTGTAGTCCACCAGCTGGATACTGCCTTAGCGTGACTGAACAGCTTATTTACATCTTTGTCATCTGCATACAACAAAAGAGAGAGAAAGAAAGAAAGATCGTAGAAAGCCCGTATATCTGTGAGATTAGCTTGGTACCACCATTTGCATCCTATACGCATATGATTTTTTTTTCCTCTCATTCTGTTCACCATAAAATGTGGGACAGTCGATAAGTGTAGTCATGAAAGCTTAATGGCTGACTGCGCTTTGTGCTGTATTGTGTTTACTATGTGTACGCACATGTTCTTGCACTAGTAAAAATAAAAACTGCCAAGCCTGCGCCGAAGGTGCAGCACAGTCACAGCGAAAGCTAGAAGAGCGGCTTTTCAAACCCTTTTCTGAACAATCCTTGGGTAACAGCTGCAAGCACACTTGCTTGATACGCACTACGACATTAATGATAAAAAACTTTTGGTTAATTGGCCGGCATTCGCCATGCTACTTTTTGTCATTCTTCTGAAAGCGTGGTATCTGCTAAACACTAGCAAGGAATTTTGTGTCATTGTTTATGCAGTGGCTAACGATGATGAGGAATTAAGCCTGAAGTGGATATGTGCTACAGTTAATAGGTGATAAAAAAAGGTTTTGTAATGGGTTGGAGCATTGGATGACCTACTCGTTACGCTATTCACATTGTCTGACGACTGGTTGTTCTTTTGCTGTCCTTAAAACGCTTTATTACTTATATTAATGCGATTCCGTTCCCGACATCAAGCCTGCCTAAGGCAAGTTTGCTGACAAGTTCTAATCACCGGCGTGGCTCAGTGGTAGAATACTAGGTTGAAACGCAGCGAACCTGGGTTCGAGCCCCACTTTGTTCTTGGTGCTAGGTTTTTTTTTTTTTTTTCTTGTGATCTCACGACTGCTTTCGCAGTAAAAGGAGGAACATCTAACAAAGCGGCGTCACCAAGAGGCCGACTGACACGCCGAAACATGGCAAAGGCGCCAGTGCGACTCGGACCTGTGAAATGGACTTTGCAAACGATCTGTTTGAATGTGTGCGGAAGACTCAATATTAATGAGAACTTACAGACAATGCTAGTTCTGCTTGGGCACATGAATGACTTGACGCTGCTTTTTAGTGCCACACGTGAAACGTTGAGTTTAGCAGCGCCCCTTATCTCATGCTACATATTCCTGGCATAGCCGAGCTAAGCCACTGCTAAGCCAGTCCCTAGAGAAAACGGCGTCGGCGCTCCTCCCTGCCGAGTTCACCGTCTCAGAGCACCGGTTTCGGCAACTACGACCCCTTTAAAGAGGGACCACTCCAGGCAGAGGCCCACGCATGAAGACGCCCTATGTTGCCTAATTTCACAGTGCCCTCTGGATTTCATTTTAGGTGCAATGAGCTCCTGAAGAAGTGGAAAATTACACTTTTACGAAAAGTTGTTAAATTATAAAAAGAAATCCCAGTGTGTTGCTTTATTTAGGCCACACTAAAGTAAAAAAGCACATGCACACACACACACACACTGTGTGTGTGTGTGTGTGTGTGTGTGTGAGTGTGTGAGTGAGTGTGTGTGTGTGTGTGTGTGTTAATTAGAGCATTAAATTAAGAGTTGTTCATTTAGTACGATTGGTTTTACTTACGGCTATGTTTTACTTTTTGTGACGTAATGCATTTTACCCACTCTGCATTTCATGCCACAAGTATGGATTGAATAAGCAAATAAACAAAATTTACAAGAGAAAGACGATAGCAGCAGGGTGACTAAGTGATCTCATGGCAGAGAAAACAGTCATTGATAGCAGTTATGTGAGAACATAATCAATTTTTCTAACATAATTATTTTATTGCTCCTTTGAACAATAATATGACACATATGACCAGAGTCTTGCTTTTCTTCTTTCAAGTTCGTTGTAACATAATAAGCGACCATTGTTAATGCAAGCGTGCAAGTTGTAAGCACCGACGAAGCATGTGTTCAAGTACATCGGCAAGACGAGGCGTCGCGAGTTGCGAAAATCGATGCGTGCCAGCACACTTGCAGTCAGATGCTGGTAAGGCCACAGTAAGGAGTCGATACCAGCAGATGACTATAAGATCAAGTTTTCATGCCGGCAATGGTACTACCATACACCTGCAATGCCACATCCTTGTGTCCATCATACAGTCATTCAGTCACATATTGCCTTTCATCTGCCACCGCTCTTTCGCTTCAAACCTGTAAAGAAAATCAGCAGAATTCAGGATCTGTACTGCTGTCACAATCTGCTTTTTTTATGATTATATATGGTGCTCTGTAAAGAAGAAACCAAAGAGTTAAGTGGTATGGTGTTAAGGATTTGAAGCATTGTGCAAAAAAAATAATACATGAAAACAAAAATTACATCATCTCCTACTAAAGGGAACCACGTGTAGATGCAAAGACAGCGGGTGCTAACGCTTACACTGGCTGCACTTATCACGGCGAGTGCAGGAGAGAAACCTGGGGAGGCACAAAGCACGCAGTGATGGACCGGTGTTTCCTGCTGGAACATACCAATTGCTGCTAATGGGCAGTGAGACACAGCAGACACCAAGTAGACACAGAGACCCGCAGTCTGCTTTTAGCTGACAGACACTCTGCGACTTTTTATTGTGAAACAACGCACAGGAGAAATCTCTCACCAGCACTATAAAAAAAATCAAGATCCAGTGCTTTTATACACGAGGTGCCCAATGAACGGTTGTGCGGCACCACCAGTTGGTTTTTTCAATCAAAAAACTCGCTAACAGACGCTGCCTGCATTGGTGTTGTGAGGCGAGAAGCAGGGGGAGCGTAAGAGAGGAACAGGAGGAGGTGCGCATGCACAATGGGGGTGTAAACGTTGGGGGAAGGGGTGCCTGGAGGAGAGTGAGGGGGAGCAAGTGTAGACAAGCAGATGTTACTTGTGTGGGCGTTGCGAGGCGAGAGATGGGGAAGCGTAGGAGAGGAGAGAGAGGGGAGGCAACGTGCATGCATAGTAAGGGTGGTCACGCCGCACACCGAATTGAGCTTGACCCTAAGAAGCTTCGCATCTACAACAAAGGTTATAATTCATGAATGTTAATTCAGTTCAACAACAATATAGTGTTCCAACTTTTAAGTGATCAATAAATGTCCCAATTTCGTCGCAAGGGTGAAGCAATGAATGTGATAGCAAGAGAATGAAATCTCATGTGAAGAACGACAAGCAGCTCGATACTTGCAGGGCGCCGCTGAAGCACAAAAGTCAGTCGAAGAGAATGCACATGTATACACAGGAAAAGTGTGAACTAACAGCTGTCACAGTAGTTATGCTTTTGTGTTCGAGTAACGCGCTGCTGATGTCGGTGATGCACAATCCAGCACTTTAGGCAGTTCTTTTTCTTTTGAACTGATTCAAGGCGTGTGATGCACCCGGTGTTCCTTGCATTTTGAGGTTTGCGCATTTGTTCGTTGTGTGTTGTTTGCACCCACGATGATTCTGACGATGACGAAAAACATGCGTTCTAGACTGCACATTTTCTTTCTGCCCTGAATGGAGATGAAAGTGGACGCGCACTCGACCATGAAAGGCAACGCCAATGCGGACTACAAGCTATAGCTCGGAGGCGAGCGCTCAGGAGGCAGCGGCAAAGCGGCAATGCCAATAAGCTGCTACTCCTAAGTCTGCATACCACCAGCGGCATGTGGTGTACATAAATAACTTGCCGCCGTTATGCCGGCGCATGCATGGCGTGTGGTCGCGGTGGAAAGGTGGCAACGTATCGTTCTATCACTTCCCAAAAGATGTAGACAACGCGCGAAAGAGAACGGCATACATATTCAGACTTTGACAGAACAATGGAACTCAATTGCATACATGCAATCGGAGGCACGAGTTGCAGCGGTTGCAGCGTACAGTTACTTCGAGAACTGTAAAGGTTTTGCCTGTGGCAGTACAGCAACACAGTGCACAATGCTTGCACCTTTTAGAGAGGCCCACTAGACATGAGCAGTTGCCTTTTTTTTAACCTCAGGCTAGCTGTACAGGTTATTCGACTTGAAGTAAATCTGATGCGGTTCGCCGATGAGGCTCGATGTTTGCACGCACAGCGCAACTATTGTCATTGTTTTGCTAGTGAAATTCTTTATGCCGATAAGAATTAGGCGGTCCACAGCCAGCACCTCTTCGACTTCGACGAAGATACGTGATCCGATGCCACAATCAAGAAACATCAGCATAACGCCAAGCAAAAGTGTCGCGTTGACACTGCTAAGCATAGCCAACTTCGTTTTTTTTTTACTAGTGTTGCCAGTTCAGGGAACAATTTATGAAGTTGAAAATATTCTACTTCCAATAAGTGGCTTTCCCTCAAAATTTAGGCAAGATGTTGCCAAGAGGTTGCGTGCAGAAGAGGGCATTCGAAGTTTACTTGTACACTACATGTCTTATGTTAACCACGTTGTAACTAATTCCTAACTTGATGTCCCTTTATGTTTGAGGGGGGGGGGGCACACATATATTTTTTGTCACTTGAGCAGTAGTTTTCTTATTGGTGTGCTGGTGAGACAACATGAACCCACCGAATGTGTACATTGGGAAAGAAGCAAATTTTATAGGTTGACAATGGAGTCATAATGTGAGCTCACCCCCATGGTAACTTGGCCTGCCTCTTGACGTAGTCCCTCCTTCTCTTGGCTTCTTGCTCCTCAGCACACCGCTTGGCAGCAAAGGCATCAGCAATCTTCACAGCAAACTGTTCAGGGGCGAGCAATTAAAATGAATATTGGATATTTGCGCCAGAAGAAACTTCTCCATTGGATTTTCATTAGGGCTACATTCAGCTGAACAGGGGGAGTTAGACAATCGAAAATTCACTTCTTGTGTATAGATTCGTTAAAAGCAGTCACAGATTACACTTGAATGAACAGTAGTAAGTATTGGTTACAGACGATTAAATAAGAACTGTGGTATGTCGCGCTTCATTTCAGTAACATTTTCAGCACTTCAGAGTCTGAGGCTGTTGTGATATTCTGTCGCTGCTTGGTGCAATGCAGACAAGACCATTTATGAGAATGTAAAAAAAAAAAATAACAGGAAGTAAGTGAGAAATACAAAGAGAAGAAAAGACGGGAAAATTGAAATGAACAGAAATGAAGAGAAAGGAACAGAAAACAAAATCTAGAAAAAAAATTAAAGCGACGAAAAAAAAAAAGAAACTATAGGAAGCCCGGTTATGCACTTCCTTCAGATTTGGCCCCCCTCGTGAAAAGCTGCCATAATTTTTCTTTTATAACAAGACCGAACATTTGACAGCCACTGCAAGATCAGCTGCAACAAAGAAAGCTTTGAACTGAAAGGCGAAAGACAACATCTAAACACAGTTCTCAACGCATTTTTAATAGTATGAAATTTTTCGGAAATGTTTGCACGGCAGTAGAAAAAGAAAAGAGCGCATTTCACTGGTTATGCCATTGTATGAATACAATGGGAAAACATTGTAAGCGACGAGCCACTGTGCCGATATGTCTCAGATGAGTACCTAGGTCGCTGTTATGTGTTCTTGTTTCCAAGTTTTTTGCAGCAGCTAGATTGCCAATTTTTATTAGTTAGATTGTTGAATCTACAGTTACAATGATTATCAGATATAATGAACTATTTTGTTCTCTTGTGGCACTTTGTTATAACAAGGCCCAACTGTACTGTGTTTACTCACTTTTGAGCACAGATACTACATTCGTAGACATGTGCATTCTACACACCAGTGTTGATGAGGGTATCGTAAGGACAGCTCATTGGCTCAGCGTGACCAAGGAACGCCAAAGTTTCAGAGTCATCGTAGTACATATGCAGTATCTGTTGCATAGTTATAACAGCGAATAGCCAATAACACACGCAGTCTAAGCCAGCGTTTGTGAACAGCGGTCATAGATTCCACGACCGACCGACCGACCGACCCGACCGCCGCCGACCGACCGACCGACCGCCGACCGACCGACCGACCGACCGACCGACCGACCCGACCGACCCGACCGCCGACCGACCGACCGCCGACCGAGCCGACCGACCGACCGAACCGCCGACCGACCGACCCGACCGAGCCGACCGAACCGCCCGAGCCGACCTGAACCGACCTACCGACCGCCGACCGAACCGAACCGACCGACCGCGACCGCCGACAGACGACCGACCGACCCGACCGACCGAAACCGACCGACCGACCGACCGACCGACCGACCGACCGCCGACCGACCGACCGACCGACCCGACCGACCGACCGACCGACCGACCGACCGACCGACCGACCGACCGACCGACCGACCCGACCGACCGACCGACCTACCGACCGACCGACCGACCGACCGACCGACCGACCTACCGACCGACCGACCGACCGACCGACCGCCGACCGACCGACCGACCGACCGACCGCCGACCGACCGACCGCCGACCGACCGACCGCCCGACCGACCGACCGCCGACCGCCGACCGACCGACCGACCGACCGACCGACCGACCTACCGACCGACCGACGACCGACCGACCGACCGACCGCCGACCGACCGCCGACCGACCGACCGACCGACCGACCGACCGCCCGACCGACCGACCGACCGACCGACCGACGACCGACCGACCGACCGACCGACCGACCGACCGACCGACGACCGACCGAACCGACCGACCGACCGACCGACCGACCGACGACCGACCGACCGACCGACCGACCGCCGACCGACCGACCGAGCCGACCGCCCGACCGACGCCCGACCGACCGACCCCGACCCCCGACCCCGACCACCGACCGACCCGACCGCGACGACCCCGACCGACCGACCCGACCGACCGACCGACCGACCGACCGACCGACCGAGACCGACCGACCGACCCCGACCGACCGACCGACCGATCCGACCACCGACCGACCGACCGCCCACCGACCCGCAGCCACCGACCGACCGACCGACCGACCGACCGATAGATATGTGGGGTTTAACGTCCCAAAACCACCATATGATTATGAGAGACGCCGTAGTGGAGGGTTCCGGAAATTACGACCACCTGGGGATCTTCAACGTGCACCCAAATCTGAGCACACAGGCCTACAACATTCCGCTGCAGCCGGGATTCGAACCCGTGACCTGCGGGTCAGGAGTCGAGTACCTTAACCAATAGGCCACCGCAGCGGGGCAACTCCCCGATAGAAAGAGTTTCCTGAGTGACTGCATCATATTTGGCGGAGATTTAATTAGGGTAGAGATACCATTCCAAATTTTATCAGCAAAAAAAAGGGGTATCGATGAATGGTCATTGCACTATCAGCAGATTCAGATTTTGTTGTTTGGCCTACCGAGTATGACGTCTGGGTTTTAACAAAATTGATGCGTGAAAAGGTTCATTATTATTCATTATTTTGTATAATAGTATTGCACTTTTGAATTGTTAACGATATTAAAAGGCATTATGTTGAGATTTCAAAAAATTTAAGCCGATGGTGCATTCCTGGGTTCTGTCGCAATGGTTCGTACAGGCCTTTGTTGCAAAATGGTAATGACTGAGCAATATGAGGCATATGTGTAGCTGCATGATAAAACAAACATGATGAAGTCCACATCAGAATTTCGCCATGCCTGTCATATCGTTGACAGTCTCTGAAGATTAAAATTTGGATTTGCCAAGATGGTTACCTTGAGATTCGAGATTCACAAAACTGGAAGTGGCGGTGACAATAAAGATAATAATGCACAGTTTTGTTTGATTTATTAGCACTGCAGCAATGTTATATAGTACTCCAAATTATTACCAGTAACTTCTTTAGACATCAGCGATCATATTATTACTCACAATTATGCAGCGTATCCACACATCAGTAATTGAACAAACTGTGCTGTGCCTAGTGACTACTGCTATAAGCCCATTCTATATCTTGTAACGCTTTGCCGCAGTCCATCGAAGTACTGCGGCAAAGGTGGCCTAAAAGACCAGTCAACGGGCTTTGACTTTTTAAAGACGATAGTGCTTCTTGGGGACCTTCGACGCAAAAATTTTGGTATGTCTGTCTGTACATTTGTCTGTTTGTCTGCCGTTACAATACCACAAATGGCGGACCCCATTCACAGTGCCCACCAATATTGCTCAAGTGTCAGCATTCATACTTGTGTGATTGTCAATTAAAAAGCAATTAATGCCCATATCTGAGGCACCATAACAACAGGTCAATATTCTGTATGTGTGTGTTTACACTAAAAAAGGCATGCATAAGTAATTCTAAGAACCAGAGTGTTTATCACACTGCGCTGACAATGCAACGCTTGCACAAAAAGGCAAGTGTTTCTAACGCTTTGCTAAGACGATACAGTGGTGGCACCTACCCGTTGCCTTGCATTCTACGCCTTATCGCCTTCGAGACGGGCGCGCACCTCGCGTGCTTTGTTTTCCAAGATAACTGCCAGATAGCGCTCATGTCTCACATGTGACGTGACTCAATGCACTCGTTCGCCTCCGCTGCACGCTCAAGACACCCTAACGCAGCGCCTCCAGAATACCATTCATCGCTTTTCTCGTGCAGAACACCAAATAAACATTTTGTTCACTCTCTCCAGACGCAAGACTATCGTCTTTATGCAGTATAACGTGAAGATATGGGGCCAATTTTTTTTGCACCCCCCAAACAAGCTAGGCAAATCGTAGAATAGGCCGCAGCGATGTTTCCTGAATATAACAGCGCTGCGCAAAGCCTCCATTTCGAAAAAGAATTCCCGAACATCTTTCGTCCACCTGACCAGCCTGCTTACACGCGCAGTGACGTCAACTTGCCTATCAGCGACGTGACGCAGCACACTGCTCGTCAATTGGTCTAAACCAGGTCCCAACAAACAGTAGCGAAGTCAACGAGAGTTCCTGTTCTCACGGTATTCCCCACAGCTACGATAGAGTTATTCTATCTAACGAGTAGCGAAACAACCCGTAGGCTCCCTGTATCGAAATATAGACACATCACTGGCCCAGTTTTCAGGAGTGAGCAAACTGTGCGCCAACTCCCGAAAAATCAGGCCGACTGCTTTTCTAAGTTTTGGAACGCAGTTTCACAGCAAATTGAGTGACTGGGCTGCAGAGAAGCATCGACATCGGGTGAACAGTGAACAGCCAGGCATCTGAGTAAGCGGAAGTGTATTGCGACTCATTGAGTTCACCGATGTGGTCAATTGCTGACGTCGTGTCACTTTGCCGAAGAGGGCGGAGTTACGACATTGGGCTACACCTTCCCCTTTCTCTGAAAGAGAAGGGTGGCGAGACCGCCCGAAAATTTGAAACCAGCTGAAGCCGATGTTTTAACCCTGGTAACTTCCTCAATACAGCACATATTCGCAAAATTCTTGTGCACATATTTCTCTTTATAACAATTTTCGGACCTTGAGATTGTTTACTGGCTCTTTAAGCGGCATTCTGGACGGGTTAAAACAAGGTAAAGAAATTTTCAAACCACTACACCCCCTCCTTTTTTCACAAAGGGATTAACTTTAGGGCACAACTTTTCGGCTCGCTTGCAAGGCACGTTTGACCTAATTAATTAACAATGGCACGTGCCCATTTACCTGCCGATGGCACTGGATATCTATTGCAAGTGCCGTCACTATGGCAGCTAATGTGGTCGCTGGCAAAGCCGGCGTTCGCAGTCCTTCTTGTTTGTTTGCACGCAGTAACAGCGGCGGAATACGCATCCAGCTTTAGTTCCTAACATGTCATAGCCATGTT